TGGCCCTCTTTAATACTATTTTGTACACACTTTAAAAAATAAAAAAGACTAAAATCTATTCATAAAGGGACAGTTGATAATGGAAATAGAAGAAATGAAGGCAATTCATTTAAATCTAATTAAGCAGATAATTAATTAGATTTTGAAATAAATTATCATAGAGGGCAAGTGGGCCAATCCATCCCAACATTTCAAAACAAAGTCAAATTGTTATCCCTAAGAAATGGTAGCATCAATTTAGAGTGTGCAGAGGATGATGGGCACAGCATGCCACCACCAGGGACAGCTCATGGGGATGGACAACATTAGGGATTTGGAGACAGACTGTTCTGGGTCTAGGGCCCTTTCTAATAGTGACCAGGTGTATAATTCTAAACAAATTATGCTATAAACTTCTATTTACTTTTACAGAAAATGGAACCACTCAAGAGGCTCTAGTAACCATTAAGATACAACGAATGCCTGGCTCCATATATTAGTAAAGTCTCAAATAATGTTAGCACCTTATCCCTTGCCTTTAGGCATAGTGGATCCTGAGATCTACTTGCTAAGTGGATTCCTAATATGCTGTACAATATTTGAATATTTTGTTTGTCACATCAGGAATCCTTTTATAATCCTGGTTGATAATACCTGGGACTGAAGAACTTGGTTCCAGAATTTGCATGAGGGAATATCCAACTGGAATGTCCTCAGGATGTTCCCCAATCAAAAATCGAGATCTCTTCAGTATTATACTAAGCTGATGGAATTTGTTGGCATCCAGTGCACACGTGACAGGCACCATGTCTTTGCCTCCGAGATTTTTGATCATGTTCTTGCTGGCCCGCTCAAATATGCTTGGCATGTTGCTAGAAGCAGATAGGAGGAGACATAAATTTTAACTGGAAGGAGGAACATCAAGAGGAACTCTCACTGACTTCAGATATTTTCATAAAGGAGAAAACCTACACTTGCAAGATCAAGTCTTAATTCCACATGGTAACTAGATCATAACCCTCTTAAGTGTCTAAAGACAGCCTGGGCTTCTGACAGAAGCACTGCTGTGGAGTTCACTGCTCCTCCTGGTTGTAGAAACCACGCCTGGTACCCATCCTTTTTAATTCAGGGGTTCTCTAAAGGACAGGAAGGAGGAAGGTTCCTTTCTATCTGCAACTGAAGAGCAAGAAGGAAGGCTGGGCTCACGCTAAAGGGCTATCGTGATGGCACGATGATGGCATTGGTGATTTTACACATTTTGCATGAAGGCCTCACTGACAGGCGACATTTGAACAAAATGTAAAGGGGGAAGGCATAAACAAGGAGCACTATGGAGATTATTCCAGGTAGAACAATCAGCTGGAGCAGAGTCTCTGAGCTCACATACGCCTAAAGAAATGAGGAGAAAAAGAAAGCTGATGGGGTCAGAAGAAACAGGGGACCAATTGGTGCTCAGTTGGCTCCAGGGAGTCTATTTTTCTCAGACTTGGAGTGAGAATAGGAATGCTCAGCAGGGTTTAGACTCATGAGTGACACATCTGGTGTACCTGTTGGCATCTTGTCTGTGGTTATGATGGTGACAGCAGGCTAAAGTGATGAAGCAGGGTGCACAGCTGGGGTGGCTTTGCAATAATCTAGATAAAGTTGTCAGTGGGTTGGACCAAGTCGTTGCAGGTGCAGTGGCGAGAAGTGATGACAGGTACAGTATCGAAGCACAGAGTGAGAGACGAGGTGGCCTCTGTGAGCGCTCTCAGCCCCCATACTCAGAACAGCTCAGGAAAATACTGTGAAGGCTAGGAAAGAAGTTCTGAGCTGGCTTCTTTGTCAGAAAGTGAGACGAGGCAAGGGAAGCATCAATCAGTGGGCACAACAAAATGGAGGTGACATAGGGGCTGGTGAGATAGTTTGGCAAATGCAGGGACCTGAGCTTGATCCCCAGCACCCCATGCCACACAGACTCCAGCTCTAGGTGAGCCAAGCCAGCTACCAAGACTGAGCATGGTGGTGCACTCTGGTAATCCTAGGGCTGAGGAGGCTGAGACAGAAGGAGCACTACAAATCTGAGCTGCATAGCAAGAGCATGTAACAAATACAAAAGAAATAAAAATTAAAAAATGAAGGTGACCTGGGAGCCATGAGTCATGGCAAGGAAAATGTAGGTGGCTGAGAATAAATCACATATGTGAGTGCCATTCTGTGTTCATTCAATGTACCTGTGAGCATATGGGTGGCTTTCCTTGTGGAGCCCTTCTTCGTGGCTGCAGAAGGGAATGAATGGGCCTTAACATGTCGTGAAAGAGAGTGATGCAAAAATTTGACATCTTTCCATGGAGATTTAGGTCTTCCTCACAAGTACACCAAAAGCATTGTGCACACCCAAAAGACTCCTGGACAAGATTCTAATTTGTACTTAATGCAACTACCTAGCAAACAGCCATCGGACAGAGAGGAGAATCCTAGACGACTTGTCACAGCCAAGGTCAAGAATACTACTGTATTAAAATCAGAGATACAGAGAAAAAGATTTCCCTTCCCAAAGGTAAACATATGTTAGCTGACTTGTTCATTCAGTTATTATTCCATCAGTCAGCAAGCTTTTTCATTTTCTTTTGCTTTTTTTGCAGGATCTCAATACACATCTCTGACTCCTAGTGATCCTCTTGTTTTCTGCCTCCCCAGTGTTGGGCTTATAGGCATGTGGCACCACCCTCAGACTCCATCACCTGTTCAGTGCTCCCCAGGGTGGGGCTGGAGGGGCATGCGGTGCCAGAGATTGCCAGGGATGCGGTGCCCGGGCCCTTGTGCTTGCCTAAGCAAGCATTCATTCCGCTGAGCTATCTCACCAGCCCTAGCAAGCTCTTAGTGATATCTACTAGTTGCCGTGCCCTGTCCTGGGAATATTTCCCTGTATGGTAAAATACAAATGGCCTCTCATCTCTCAGAGCACAGCACAGTGATAGAGACAGCTATTTACCAAATGATCTTGCTAATAGATACACATATAGTTATAAATCATCATCAATGACATCAATGACAGTTACCTACCCAATTAGTTTATAACTCGGAGGATAGGTGAGTCTAACAATGTATCCTTGAAAGCTAAGAATAAGTACTATTAAGGAGAACTCAGTAATCGGTTGATTAAATAGTTCTAAAAATCACACTGATAAAGAAGACATGATTTTTGAAAAGCCATAACATATGTATTGTGGTATGTTACCCTGTTTTTGTCTTTGTTTCTATTTGTTTTTGCTTTTATTTTTACTTATCAAAATAAAATAAAAGAAAAAAGACATGAATATTGCAGGTATGAAATAGCATAATGGAATAGAGAAGATGATGAACGAGCAAAAAATAAATAAATAAATTACTAACATGTCAAACAAGAAATGACAGTAAAAGTTATGGGTAAAAGTAGTGTGATACTTAAAAATATATTAGAAATTTGAAGTTTTTTTCAGAAAATAAGAAGAACTGAAAATTCAAAAATTAACCATTTAAACTAGCTAGTTAAGAATAGGAATAGGAACTATTAGGTAGATCGAAAATATTGAAAGAAAAAAATAAAGGTAAAAATGCAGGTAAAATAAAAGTAAAATCTTCATGTAAAAATATGCTAATGAAGCAAAAAAAAAACCCTTCAAAGCTGATTTTAGGAAAAGACAAATAATACAGATACACTAGAAAGGCATGGTGGTGTAAGCCTGCAGTCCTCAGTACTGGGCAGGCTGTGGCAGAAGAATTCCAAGGTTAAGGCTAGCTTGAACACCTTAGCGAGGCCTTGCCTCAAAATAAAGCTTTTAAAAAAGTCTGGAAATGTAGCTCATAGCAGTGTGTTTTTCTAGTACTTAAGAGCCCCTGGGTTCAAAACTCAGTAGTAGAAAAAAAAAAACAAAGAGAAAGTTTGCTGAAGCTTGAAAAGAAGGAAAAAAGAAAAATGCACACATAAAATGATTTAGGAAATAAAGAGAATATAATTATAAAAATAACTAAATGTAAACTTTTTCTAACAAATATAAGCATTAAACAGACTAAATAATATTCTGGGAAAAATAATCATTTAATTTTAAAAGACCTGAGACTATTCTTTTTTTTTTTTTTTTTTTTTTTTTTGTTTTTGCAGAACTGGGGATTGAACTCAGGCCCTTGCACTTGCCAGGCAAGCACTCATTCTACTGAGTCTTGCCGGCCCCCAAGACCTGAGACTATTAAAGATAACTAATCAAGTTAAAAATATATACCAATGTAAATCTTCAGCTAGGCCCATGTAGCTTTTAGGTGAACTATCAAATATTCAAAGAAATATAATAACTTATGTTTTTCAAATAGTATTATGAAGTTTTGGCAATTTGTGGCTAAAACCAGATGAGGGTTGTACAAAAAGGAAAAACAGAATGTAGCTTTACAAGTTATTTTTTAACTGGCAAAAATCCTTAGCAGGCATCCCATCAAAATAGATATAAAGGTAGAAATGTATGTGGAAAGATGTTCAACATCATATATTTTGTGGTACCGCAAGTTTAGAAAGCAAAACATCACTCACACCTCTTAGAACAGGCAAAGCAAAAACAATACTGGATGCTGATGTGGATATAAATCAATGAGAACTCCGTAATTGGACCTGGATGCAGATGTATAAAGCCATGTCCCCAGCCCCCATGAGCTCAGAAATTCCTCATTAATATCGTATGCAGAATGTAAGGAAGCAGCATCTTTTTTGTTGGTCAAATTCTGCAGGAAGTCTGACTTACAAGCCTACGCTGAACATTTCTGTGTTTGCCTCTGTAGCTTCCTTTAAGCATTCTCGGATCTCTACCTCACTCACCAGGTCGTGTATTACTTTTATCCTGTTCGGGAAGAGTGTGGCTGAGCAGCAGCCCTTCCAGTCTTCAGATTTTCTGATTTCAAGCAGAATTGGCACGAACTCTAGACAGGATCAGTTTAGTTCTTCTCACTGCGTCTTCTTCCACCAATGTGACTCAATTTTCCACGCAGTGCTCTGAGGAGATGAGCACAGCGAGAGCCCCTCTCCTTCAGGAGACCAGGTCTGGGTCTGCGTCCTGGATCACAGCACCTCAGCTCTCAGGTCCTGCGCAGCCGGAAGTCTGCAGATCACAAGCAGGAGCATTTGAGTCTGCATGGATCTCTGGGTTCAAAGCCAGTTTTGTTGGAAGCCATGCCCTTTTGTTTGTTAAAAATAAGCCAAAAAACCAGCTGAACAAGTCTTTGATGTAGGAACTCCAAGCAACTGGGTTGAGAACAATTCATTTAGGCTCATCCCCACCTTGTGACTACACTGCATGGCACCATATCTGAGGGACAGCCGCAGGGAAAGTACGGCCTTTCTGTGCCAGGTTCCGGGTTGTGCCTCAGCATGCCTTATGTGTGAAGCTCTGCCACCAAGGAATTAATGCTCCTAATGCCAGCTCTGCGTCAACCACCAGTCATACAATTATGTAATCCACTCTTGCCATGATCTTTAAAGACAAAAGAGATTTATAAAACAAAATGTAAGGAAAAGCAACGTGCCCCAGACCCACACATCTTCAAATGAGTCCAGTCTTACAGGACTGAGTTCATTACTTGTGTGAAGAAATTGATGCTGCACCTATAAGATCTGTGCACGTCCTGGAACTGATGTGCAAAAGGGCTTTGCTCCTTTTCGTTAGCAAAACTTCTCCTTGCACTTGTATTTTCTTTGCTTCCTTCCACCAATCCTAACACTCCCCTGAAGAGCTGTTCCCGCCTTAGGCACAAGGTGTGCCCTGTGTCTCGCTGATATTTCTCATTGCTAAGGCAAAATACCCAATACCCAAAGGTAAGGGGGGAAAGGTTTATTGAGTTGCCTGTTTTTTTTTTTTTTATTTT